TCATGCCTTAGAATACACTCCTATAATCATGAGAAGTTTGAGCACCTATGTCTATATTGATGTTTGAGGGCTTCATTTTGTCCTCTATGATTTATGCTTCATCTGCCTCTCCTGGGATTGGAAGAAGTAATCTTATGCTATCTACTTTTTCATCATAGTATTATCTTTTCTCTTCAGTTTGCGCCATTTGCATCTTTCTGATTGATGTCTTACAAACTGCTAAGCTTCTCTTTATTTGTTCCATAGTTACTATAGTTTCTGTAAACATTGAGTTATGTGTTTGGATGGTGGAACTGTCTTAGGGACAAAATCTAGTTTTCGAGGGTCATCAAGTCACATGTTTTTGCAGATTCAGAAGAAAAAACTCAAATTTGTAACATATCTAATCCGTAGGGTATCTTTTTCATTCCAAACATGATTGGCATAGAGGATCCAGCTTTGGATAGTTCTACTGTGTCTTAGATTCTATATGTATGTTGTCTTAACTTCTACCATACTGGCTCACAGGGAACCAAATGTGTTCTTGTATCTCCGATTCCAGTAACAAATTTTAGAATGTTCTCCGTACAAGCTTCCTTTATGCGAACCCAACCAAGGGCCTTTTGCAGCCTAATCCCGCCATCTTTAGATTTGAGTTCAAATTACTCCATGCCATTTATCAGAGGTGTCTGCTTCAGCATATGAAACTGTAAACCACTGATGAACCCCCATCTTAATTATATCTTTGCCCACTGCTTTTTGGTACATTTTCTTTGGCCACTGTTAATAACGTAGAATCTCTCAAAACTTTGGTGAGCCCATTAGGTTACACATACTGGTAATTTACTAATTCCATTTGCAAAAGTTGTCAAAGTTTGCTAAATGCAAATATACTGAATTGTCGAAGACTTGTGAACAGTAACTTCTTAAGGTTTGCAGTACTCCAACCATATTGGACTCATCATGGAACTACCTTTATGAGACAAATTGCCAAATAGCAAGTAGTAGAGGGGGATAATAGACTATTAAATTTTGAATTGCAATCATCTTACACCAAAACCTATTGAGTTTTTTTTTTTTTTTTTTGAAAGTTCAATCGTCATGATAGTTAATGTTCTGAATCGTTTATTTATCTTGCTTACATATACTGGAAATATGTCCATGGTGGAACATTTGATCTGATTCATATGCTCTGCCCTGTTTAATGGCAGGAAACAACTGGAAATGCTGAAAAAGGAACGGCAAACAAGAAATCAAAAGCTGGGGGTGGGAGAAAGAAGAAGTAAATGTTCTTAAGGTACAGTGTTGATGGGTGTGCTCCTTAGAAGGTAAGATTGTTTTCTTTGCGAAAGCCAACGGCTTGAGTGATATGATAAATCATACTCGAAAATGGATTTATGGAGTTTTCTCCTGTTTTCCGTGAATCAAGTTTGTAGTTTGTACAACTAGTAGATTTATAATTTATGTGGTAATTTGGAGTTTCATGTTCTCACTGTTTCCTTTATGGTTAACAAGTTTGTTTGTAGGGTTTTCCAATCTCTTCTCCTAAACTAATCTATCTATATCTATATTCTATATATATAATGACAGAAGTGATTGTCCAAGTTTTCGTATCCTAACTTAGGGACATTTTATTAATATCAACATCATTGGATAAAAATGTCATTTAGAATTAATATTTAAAAAATTAATTACACTTTCCTTTTGAGAAATTATACAAATTTATAATTTATAATTCTCACCTTTTCTACCTATAAATACAATATATTAGTGACTTTGGAAATTATTATTCATTTTGCACTGTCCCCTCTCCTCCCCGTTCTCTGTAAATCTATCTTGGTGACTTTGTCATCCCTTCTTTCACTGCTCAATAAATCAATAGTTATTGCATGGACCACGACTCAAACGACGACGTTTTGTTTAATTTTATATTTTCGTACGCCCAATTGCAATATACATTTTTATAACTCATAATGTATATTTTTTTAAAGCATAATATACATTATTCTAACAAATAATGTACATTATTCTAACACATAATGTATATTATTTTTATTCATAATATTTACGACAATGTTTTGGACTATGGTCTACAAAGCTATGTGGACCACGGTTTACGCAATAATTTGCCTCAGTAAATACAATAGATTGGTGTTGTACCCATGAAAGCGTAAGTATCTTTTTACAGTTTTCAATATATATATATATATATATATATATATATATATATATATATATATATATGTTTAAGTTCCAGTGCGGGTGAATGCTTCCCGTGCGGTTGTGCAGGTGATTAATGTGGATGAGTTTTGTACTTAATGTGTATGAGAGTTGTGCTTAATGTGCGTGTGTAGTACTTAATGTGCGTGAGTTTTGTACTTAAGGTGCGTGCGTTGTGTGCTTAATGTGCGTGCGTTGTGTGCTTAATGTGAGTTGTTGAAACTTTAAAGTGCATGAGTTTTGTACTTAATGTGCGTGAGTTTTGTGCTTAATGTGCGTGAGTCTTGTGCTTAAGGTGCATGAGTTTTGTACTTAATGTGCGTGAGTGTATACTTAATGTGAGTTGTTAAACCTTAAGGTGCGTGTGTGTTTGTGCTTAAAGTGCGTGAGTTTTGTGTTTAAGGTGCATGAGGGTTGTGCTTAAGATGCCTGAGTTTTGTGCTTAAGTTATGAATGTATTTTGTTTGTGTGTTTAATGTGCGTCTGTTGTGTATTTAAAGTGAGTCAGTGTAATGCTTAATGTGAGTCCACCCGCACCATATATATATATATATATATATATATATATATATATATATATATAGGGTAGAGTTCCAGTGAGAACATGTGCTTAGGTGAGAACGTAAGAACACATCATGTGCATCCATCTAATATTTTTTAATGGTCTAAATTAGATTAAGTGTGTGCAAACGCACATTAAATGTGTGCAAACGCGATTTAGTGTGTTTGCACACATTTAATGCGCGTTCGCACACACTTAATCTAATCTAGACCATTAAAAAATATTAGATGGATGAATATGATGTGTTCTCACGTTCTCACCTAAACACATGTTCTCATATGATCCTAACTCTCTATATATATATATATATATTTGCAATCGTCGCTGGAGGCGTTCTTAGCCGTGCTGGATTTGATGGACGGGGGCCGACGTCTAGCGCAAGAACTCCAAAGCTCTTCGGAAAATACAAATGTTTTCCATCGCTATGGAATACTTTGGAGAAAATAGAGATTCTTTTTTGAGTCATAATGTGGCGTTTGGTTGGAGGGAGGAAATTATGTAGGAAAAGAATTGCAATTTCATGGGAGATGAATTAGTGGGAATAAAGTGAGAATTTAAATTCCAGTATTTGGTTTACAGAAATAAAATTACTGGAAATTTCAATTTCAATGTTTGATATACATAAGAATTGAAAGGGAATAAGTAGTATAAAGTTCAAAATGCGCATTGTTGTTGTCTGACATTAATTTTAGGTTAAAAAAGAAGAGGGTTAATTCTGTCACATTATTATTATTATTATTATTTTTTTTTCTTCTTGAAACCCATGGAATTAAGGGAACATGGAATTTTAATTTCATGAAAATGAGAGAATTGCAATTCCTTTCAACCAAACTAAGGAATTTAGTGTTCTTTGAAATTAGGTGGGAATTAAGTGGGAATGAAATTTAAATTTCTTCCAACCAAACGCCCTGTAAAGTAGATTATGGAAAAATTTATATAAAGAAAATCAAGAAAGGGTGAAATTCAATTGTAATCATATTAATTATTACCACTCCATTCACCTTACTCTCTCGATCAAATCCTAGCTTAATTAGATTGTTTCATCGATCTCTTCCTCACTCTGATCTCACATACATACTCTTCTATCTGTAGGCATGAATTGAACAAAGAAATAAAACGAGTTAATACCCAAAATCGTCCTCGATTATAGTGGTTTTTCACAATTTCGTCCTAAACGACTTTGGTGACCTAATATCGTTCCAGACTTTTGTGTTTCGCTCAATTTAGTCCTTCATTTGTTATTTCGTCAAATTGATGTTAAATAAATGGACAATTCAGTAATGTCAATATTGATCTCTCTTTACTTTCAACTTGTGAAGTGCGAAATTCCTCTTTCTTGTATGAATTACACCCAGAATTACTCCCGGACCTGCAAATCAAATTTTATATTCGCAGTTTTAGGAATAATTTTGGGAGTAATTCGTAAAAAAAAAAGGATTTTGCAGTTCACATGTCTATGAGTAAAGGGATGCCAATATTAAAATTACTGAATTGTCTATTTATTTAACACCAAATGGACAGAATAACAAATGAGGGACTAAATTGAGCAAAAACACAAAAGTCTGGGACTAAATTGAGCGAAACACAAAAGTCTGGAACGATATTAAGTCACCAAAGTCGTTTAGAACGAAATTGAGAAAAACCACTATAGTCGAGGACGATTTTGGGTATTAACTCGAAATAAAACTAAGCCTATATATGGTAGTAGTAGTAAATATAATAATTAACCAAAAATAAAATTAAGAATGATATGATATGATGAGAAGGGCACATGCGTAAATGCACGGGGGGCGACATCTGCTGCATTCCAAATTTCCACAAATAATTGGTCCAAAAATCGCAATCCTTCACATGCATTCCCTTCGTCACGCCGTTTTCCATAAAATCCCCCCCCCCCCCCCCCCCCCCCCATTCAACACCAAACTCAAATATTATTATTATAGGCATATATATATTTAGCAAACACCAATATTATTCCATTAATACTGGTTAAGAGTCCCATATTCAAAAAAAATAAATACATAAGTGTATATATATATATATATATATATATATATATATATATATATATATATTTATTTATTTATTTATAAGAGCATGCGTTAGAATAGTTAATTGGTTGAATTCAGTGAATTGAATTGTATTATTATTTTTGCCACTATTAAAAATGTTTTAAATATTCAAACATTCATTTATTTATGGACCCTTTAATTGAGTAATATGAAAGAGGATTATGGTATAAGGTAAAAACAAAACATTTCCCATATTATTCATCATCTCACTCTTTTTGTACAACAACAACACAAGATACAACATTTTTCCTTAACAACACACACAAAGTATTCCACCTTATTATACATTATTACCCGCACGCGCATCGCACGCATGTATAGAGAGAAATAGATGCATGCAGTGATGGTGGTTTAATTTCAGTTGCGGCGGCGACTGGCGGCCGGCTCTTTGTGGGCGTTGAAGTAGACGGTGGCGACGGGGCTGTCCAGCTCCAGGTGGTGCGCAAAGGCGCGAGTACAGAAGTTGTTCCGGGAGGTCACCGGCGGCTGCAGCTCCCCGAGCACCTTCTTCTGCTGGAAGAGCACCAATATGTAACGGTGAATCCCCACCGTTGGTTTTGGCCCCATGTAGGGCACCGCCTCCTTCCCTGCATGTGCCCACCAAACACAACTCTTTTATTTTAATTCACTTAATTGAACTTTACTTTAATCAGCCAGCTTAGTTGACGTGAGTGACCGTGCACTTCACATTTTGTCTGGATGAAAATAGTTTAAAGATTCTCTTGTACGTACACTATGTCTTTTTAATTGGACTAATGGAAATCACTGCGGGAAATTATGAAATTTCCGACCACCTGAAAGTGATCTTAAATCATGTTGAAACTTGTTCCTATCACTTTTAGTATTCGGAAAAACTTTTGTTGCTATTTCTGGCTACTTTTTACTTTCGACTTGATTTAAGATTACTTTCAGATGGTCGAAAATTCCATAATTCTCAACAGTGAATTAACCATATGATATAAACAAACTTAAAGGTGCCTCCTACTGTTACGACACTTTAATCAATTCAGTTATTTTTAAAAAGTTTGACATGAATAACTTTTTAAAGAAAACCTAAGAGTGTAGTCTTTTGCCAATTGTCCCGGGTATGCATGGCACTCCATTTTAGGTGATACTTGGCAGATGCTAGGCTAAACCAAGTGTTATCCAATTTGAGTGGGGTCTTGGGGGTGGGGTAGGTATACTCTACATGCACCATGGCTGCCCTGCATGGATGCATGGCTCTATATTATTTACCTTTTGTAATATCATGAGTGTTTCCCGGAATGTCAGTCACAATCCTGATAAATGTAACCATAAAATTTGGATTTAGTTAGATGGAGAATTATTATTGCATGCAATGGTAATTAATTAAGAAATAAACAAAACAAAACAATAATAATTCTTATACCAGTGTACCAGCTCCCTCATGCATGGCTCACTGGGACTCGGGGCATCTGGATCCGTCATCACCTACACATACAACACATGAATTAACCAATTGGAAATATACAATTAACCAATCAGAATTATATATGGAATTAGAGAACGAACCAAGGTATAGAACTGGGTGGAATCACCCCCGATATGGACTCTAGGGCGGTCAGCAACCATGGAGGGCTTGACGTCACTGCCACTCGTGATCGCCTTAGGGCCGTAGTAGACCGCCATATCGACGGTGGGCACAAACATGTCCACCACATCTCCGATCACCCTACCCACCACCAATGGATCGACATTTCTCCTCACCATCATCTTCGATATATATATATAGAGAGAGAGTTGTAGTGTATGTAGTGTTAGTAGAATATGACTAGCTATATGAGCAACGAGGAACCAAAGTAGCTTTAGCTTATGATTGATGTTTGAAGAGTAATATAATTATATTGTTGTTCGAGGAAAACGAGGTTTATATAGAGGAAAGGAAAGGGCTCAGCTGGAAATTAAAATAATTATATTAAATTATGAAATGGAGTTCCGTATACAACCTAGTGAACATGCAGAGGGCAATGGAAAAAGCAAGATACCACGTGTATAGTATATATTTTCACTTAGCTTATTATTGCCTTAATTATATATAAAACTAAGCTAATTAACTCCCAACATTATATTAATTTGATCTTGCTTAATAATTAATTAATCATATATTACACGTACACAAACATAGTACCATGGCCCTAGAAACCTAGTACCATTAGGTTTCAAACTAGTTGAGTTATAATTGAATTCTATATTCAGGGAAAATTTTTTACGTCAATCAATCAGTGTATAGTACGACCTTTTAACGTTTACACTATCTTCCAACCACACAAAAAATAAATTAATGTTTGACTTTTTTGAAGAATTTTTTCAGAGTGACTGAGTCTGGATTATACGATAAGTGAGTAGATCTGTCGTACGTATAGTAGTTAAAAGATTTCCAGTCTCATTATATATATGGCGGTAAAGAATAAATATAATGCTGCATATATACCCCGCAGGGTGCAGCGCCACCAGAAATTGTATGTAGTTGAATATATATGTGTGTGTATGTATACATGTAATTATATTGTGAAATAAATAAGAAGCGAAGAGGGGTTCTTATGAGTTTGGGACACGCGTAGGAAAGCGTCGCAGGAAAACCTGGCGCCAGTTACAGATGGAGAAGAAGAGCTGTAGATGAGAACAGAATCAGACAACTGGAAAATTCATAAATATATACACAATTGCATGCACAGCACAGACAAAGTTTTATTGTATGTTTTTAATGATAATATTGATGCGGTACGAGGCTTTAATTTCCCTCCCATGTTTTACGTACATGCAATATATATAGTGCATGCGTTTTCTTTTTTCTTTTTTTTGGGCGATGATTCCTTAGCTTTTCCATGCTTTCTGTTGCTCTTTAACTGCTTGCTATCCCCCAAAATTCGCAAGCTTTCACTGCATATATGCCTATATATATATATATATATATATATATATATATATATATATATATATATATATATAAAAGTTCCCGTGCATTTAAGTGTTTCTCGTGCGGTTTTAACGTGCGTCAATTTTGTACTTCAAGTACGTGAAGTTTGTGCTTAATGTGCGTGTGTTTGTGCTTGATGTGAGTTGTTGTTGAGAACTTTAAGTGCGTGAATTTTATGCTTACGGTGCGTGAGTTTTGTGTTTAACGTGAGTAGTGGTTGAAACTTAAGGTGCCTGAGTTCTGTGCTTAACATGTGTGTGGCTTGTGCTTAACATGCGTGTGGTTTGTGCTTAACATGCGTGTGACTTGTGCTTAACATACGTGAGGCTTGTGCTTAACGTGCGTAAGTTTGTGTTCTGAAGGTGTTTTGTTTATTTGTATGCTTAATGTGCCTGTGTTGTGTACTTAAAGTGCGTCAGTTAATGTTTAATGTGCGTCCAACCGCACGGGAATCCCCCTCTCGCATCTGAACCCTTCCATATATATATATATATATATATATATATATATATATATATATATATATATATATCATTATCCTTGATCACCACTTTTCCTTTCTTTATTTTCTCTTCAACAAGGAATGTACAATTCCGAATAATCACGGACCTCTCATGATATACAATAACATAGACTGAGTACTATATGCAATTTACTAACTGGGGTGTTTGGTAAATGGCTTGTTAGTTGATAGCCCGTAGCTGATTGAGTTAATTAGTGAGTTTGACTAGTTGATTACATTAGTTGATTGTAAAAAAGTGTTTGTTAAATTAGGTGATTTTAGAAAAATGTTTGGGAAATTCTGATTACATACAAATGACTTTTTAAAAAAGTTGATCGAAAAAGCTACTTTGAACAACTTTTTGAATTTTAGCATTTTGGAACAGTAAGTTGTTAGAATTAATCACTCATATTGATTGTTTAACAAAGTCTAACCGATAATAGTGGTTAAAGGCAAATTATGCTGTGCATCCGTATGCACCATGCATGGTGCATACGGATGCAAAAATGACGTCGTTTTAATAAAACGCGCGTCTCCCCTTAAAAAAAAAAATCAGGTCGATTCCCAGCAACAACATATGAACTAAGATTCCATAATCGATGAACTATAATTTCATAATCGATGAACTATAATTCCATAATCGATGAACTATAATTCCATAATCTAATCTATGAACTAAAAATTCCAGAATGAATGAACTAAAATTCCATAATCTATAAACTAAAATTTCAGAATCGATGAACTACAATTCCATAATCGATGAACTATAATTCCATAATCATTGAACTATAATTCCATAATCTATGAACTAAAATTCTAGAATGAATGAACAATATAATGTTGTTGCTGGGAATTGAACCTGAATTTTTTTTAAAGGGGAGACGCGCGTTTTTTAATAAAACGACGTCGTTTTGGCATCCGTATGCACCATGCATGGTGCATACGGATGCACAGCATAACTATGTGTGGTTAAATAAGTCAAAATTAACTGATAGGCTAACTATATATTTTACCAAAATGAGGCCCGCATGGGCAGCTCAACTGGTCATAGAGGTGAAGTTTGGAAAGTATGACCAGGGATCGAGTCTCATCCGCGGCAATGTAGGAGCAACCTCTTAAAGTGAGGGGAGCTCTTGTGCGCAATAAGTAAAGGTCTAGCTTCGATGGTTCAAAAAGTATTTTACCAAAATGAGTTGATGATAAGATTGAAAATACCAAATTCGAACACTTAGGTTAATGTCTGCTACTATGATTAAATGGGAAAGAATTATAAGTATTAACACACAAATTGTATTTCAGAAATCATACAAATTTGTTGCTGTGACCACATTTAGCAAATAACACAAGGCAAATTTTACTGTGGGTAGCATGAACCGAGCTCAGTTTTTTTTTTTTTTTTTTTTTTTTTTTTTTTTTTTTTTAACACTAGTTTTATTATAATAATAATGTTAAAATATCATTTTAATTATACTTCATGTATTTGCTATCCAGTTTCATTTTGTACAAGCAATAGGTTTTTTAGTAACATTATATTAGAATTTTAATTCCAAAACATGTTCATTTAATTGACAATATACATATCTTTTTAATTCTACTATAGGTTCATTTCATAATATACATATTTGTGGCGTATCACCATATCTACTCAGTTTGTTCCTAAGTGATAAATTATGGGCAACGACACGAGATTGAGCCATGGCAGTCGCAGTGTGGGAGTTCTTGTGGATACTAGACACTAGCTTAGTCCGAATTTAGTAGTCTAGAAGCAAGAGAATTTCGTCTTTTGTGAGCAAGTATATTAATTAAATTGTGCAAATCTTATTTCAATTCATTGCATATAAAATCACTACGTACCTCGGTGTACACATTTAAAAACACTAAATCGCGTTTGCACACATTTAATGCGCGTTCACACACACTTAATCTAATCTAGACCATTAAAAAATAGTATATTAATGCACATGATGTGTTCTAACGTTCTCACCTAAGCATATATTCTCACTGGAACTCTACCATATATATATATATATATATATATGGTCATTCTCCTATGAGATCGAACCCCTCTCATATGAGAACTGCGGACAAATAGGAGCCATAGAAATGAAAAGATCAACACCCTTGATTTAACCAAGCCATCCAATTCATTGCCACATAATTAGCAGCACAAGTGATGAAGCAAACAGACTTGGATGAATGATGAAGGAAGCAGCAAGGGGCACACTTGTCTTTTCCCCTTCTCTTTTCTGTTATAACTGCCACTGGCAGTTCTTATATAAAGACTTCTTCTTCTTCTTTTGCAAGTTGTAACACAGAATGTATCTCCTCCTTCCATCAACATCAATAAACACTCTCTTCCCTTTTCTATTGAATGCTTCCACCACTATGTATGCCTGAGCTTCCTACATGGTATCAGAGCTCCGCCGAAGCTACGCCGCCGCCGTGACAATGAATACCGGAGCTAATTCAGCCGGAACTATGAACACACCTCCGAATCAGAACACTGCAGGTCAAGGACCGAATTTGCGGAATGATGAACTTGATGATCCACTTTATCTTCACGTAACCGAGAATCCAAATATGATTCTCGTTTCTCCTCCATTATCGGAGCTCAACTATGCTTCATGGAGTAGATCCATGAAGATAGCCTTGCAAGTGAAGAACAAGTTCGGTCTAGTTGATGGTTCAGTGCCATGTCCAGAGCAATCCGACTCCAGATTTGCTACCTGGACAAGATGCAATAAGATTGTGTGTTCATGGATCCTTAGATCCGTCAATTCTACTATTGCTGAAACTGTTCTCTACTATGAGAAGGCAGAAGATATATGGATCAAGCTCAGAGACAGATACTCACAAGCTGATCCACATAGAATAGCAGAGCTGCAGAACGAAATATACATGAATACTCAAGGCAACAAATCCATAAATGAGTATTTCACAAAGTGTAATGCCTTGTGGGAACAGATGAATGCTATGAGGCCTTTACCAGTGTGTGAATGTAACCCTAGATGCTCATGCAAACTCTTAAGCAAGATACAGAAGGAGAAAGAGGATGATCAAGTCATTAGATTCTTAGAAGGACTAAATGATGAATTTGAATCTATAAAATCAGGAGTCCTTGTTATGGATCCAATTCCAACCATGGAGAAGGTCCTCAACATGGCTCTGAAAGTAGAAAGAAAGATCAATGGTTCTTACAGTCAAAAGAACATTGAAGTGATCCAATCCAGTGCTGTTCAAAATAACCAAGGCCAGTCTACAGAAGAGCTGGGAACTGTGGCATTTTCTAGCTCTGGAAATAAGAAAAAATTCAACAACAATGGTGGAAGGAATGTTCCTAAGTGCACACATTGTAACATGAGTGTCCATACTGCTGAGAAATGCTTTAAAAAGCATG